TGTCGGTGTGGGACAGCATTCGAGATTGGGCATCGTACTTTTTTTTCCCGTACCAGTTTCGGGCGACCAAAAAGAAGAGGTGACCCTCCTCCCCAGACGTGCCCGCGTCGCGAATGAACCGCGACGGACCAGTTTTGGCCGCCATCGGTTTGTGGGGGTCCTCGCTGGGCACCACTGTTGTCCAAAAGCGACGCGGGGTGAAGACCAGCTCCAGGGCTGGGGTCGGGACTTAAAGGGCCCCCAGAAGACATCGGACATCGGATATCTAGCTCCTGCCCCCCCCCATCGGAACATTTTCGGCCACGCGCAAAAGGGGGGGTGCGGGGGAGGAGTAAAGGCTTTTGTTTGTTATACCCCCCCTTTCCCCCGACCTTTTCATGCGCGCCGCCAACCGAAGCTGTACATCTATCATGGACATGGTGCCACAGCCCAATCCTCCTGTGCGTCCTTCTCCTCAGCCCGTGGAGTTTTTCATGTAGTGTTTTCCCAGTCGCACGCTTTGCCCACTTTTGTCACGCAGGCGCCTCGGCGCTCCCTCCCTTTAGCCGCGCGTTCATGACGCCACGCGCGCGCAGCCGTGGCCGTAGCTGCAGCCGTGGCTTCACAGCATCAGCGCAGCAAGCCGTGAGTTCGCGTGCTGCTGGCAAGCTGCACGGAGGGAGCCATCAGCGATAGACTTCCGCTGCGTGCGCGGCGTTGCATATCAATTGCTGTGACTCCGTGGTTGCAGCGGGCTCCTCGCGCATCCAGAGAAAACGTCACAGGTCCAGGCAAAGGCGGCAGGCAACTGATATCCGCAGGAGAGCCGGCGGAGTGGCAGCAACAGGGAGGCGGGGCTCAAAAGCTCAATCGCCCAGCGTGCCCACACGACGGTGCTGCCGAGTCCCCCGAGTGCGCGTGTTGTGGCCCCTCTTTCCGCTCCAGCCTCGAAGTTCCGCTGCCGCTGCCTTTCTTGCAGTCCGCACTGTTCTGATGGCTTCTCCAGGGGTGGCGCATGCGTATCCGATCCCCAAGTGCTAGGCGGGCAGTTTTCGGCGTAACAAGCGCCAGGCAGCAGTTCATATCAGGTGGTGATAGGTAGTGCTGTGAATCCAGGAGGGGTGCAAGAGTTTATGGGACGTCCACTCCGAGCGCGCGGACATGGAATCAGAGCCCTCATGCTGGACCTGAGCTCGGACAGAGTCGACATTCACCCGCTGGTTTCGGCCCACCTCGTTGAAACGGGTGGGATTCTGGGAGTCCACGGAGCGCTGGAACCCATGACTTGGGCGCCACTTTCCGCTTCTGTTGGAGAGGGTGCTCGACCTGCCTGGGAGTTCAGAAGTCCATCTGCGTCTTTCTTAACATCAAGAGAGAGATAATGAGAGAGAGAGAGAGAGAGAGGGAGAGAGAGAGAGAGAGAGATGGAGAGAGAGAGAGAGAGAGACAGAAAGGAAGAAAGACACAGAGAGAGAGAGAGAGAGAGACAGTGAGAGCGACAACGCAGCAACACAAACAAGCATCCTTCGCCGTTGTCGCCGGCCAGGCCCTCAGGGGGTGCCCCCGGGGGCGCACCGCCCGCCTTCCCAAGACGTGCCACGCTTCGGCGCCCCGGCCCCTCGGCGCCCTCGCCGCCCGTCCTCGCTACATCTGAAAGTGACCGGCTGCGGCTCGCGCGGCCATGGTCTGAGCGGGCTCCTCGCGCGCTCTGCTCTTTGCCGCCCTCGTGCCTCCGTCGGCGTCCCGTGCGCCCCCGCCCGCTTGCCGACCGGCTCCTCCTCCTCCTCTTCCTCCTTCTCCTCCTCCTCTGCCTCCTCCTCCTCCCCCTCCTCCTCCTCCTCCTCCTCCTCCTCCTCCTCTTTCTCCTCCTCCTCCTCCCTCCTCCCTCCTCCTTCCTCCCTCCGCCCTCCTTCTCCTCATCCTCCTCCTCCTCCTCCTCCTCCTGGCGCATGGCCGTCGTGAGCCACTCGGCGCCCGCGGGCTACAGAAGTAGTGCATGCTGCTGTGGCATTTTGCCTGCGGGGCCCGTGGCGCCCGCCACCCGGCGAGCGCGAGGCCAGGGGCAGGGGAGGAGGAGGAGGAGGAGGAGGAGGAGGAGGAGGAGGAGGAGGAGGAGGAGGAGAGGAGGAGGAGGAGGAGGAGGAGGAGGATGAGGAGGAGGAGGACAAGGAGGAGGAGGAGGAGCAGGAGGAGGAGCAGGAGGAGGAGGGAGGAGGGAGGAGGGAGGAGGGAGGAGGGCGGAGGGCGGAGGGAGCCCCCCTTACACGGCCCCATTTTTTTTGCCCGCGGTTCCGAGGGCGCGTGCAGCGTGCAGCGTCAGCTGCGGGGGGGGGGAACCGTCCGTGCTTCACTGGCGTCCCCTCCCCCGCGGCTCTGTCTCTTCGGGGGATCGTTCTGCCGTTTCGGAGGCTGCCGGGGAATTCAATGGCATTTTTTGCGCGCACTCCGACGTGGGTCCGACGCATCTTCGACGTGGGCTTCGACGTGGATTCGGCACGGAATTGACGCGTCCGACATGGATGCGGCACGGATGGCTGGCGCGATGGGGCAATCAACATCCAGATGCAACACAACCCCGTTCCCGCTTTTTGTTCCTGGCCTGTCAGAAGCGGCTGCGGTCGATTTGAATTTGACCGTATTCGAACCACCGTATGAAGTTGACAGGAGGAGGCGGGAGACGACGATGGCGGGCAGAGGCATGGCGGTGGTCCGGATGCTGGAATGCATGGTGAATCGGGGCTGCGTGGTCGCAAATGCAGAACATATTACTACACAGCTCAAGGGGGAAGCAGGGGGGTAACATCAGTCGACGCTCGACGACATACACGTCAAGACAACCCCTATAACATATCATGGTCAAGTCTAGTTGAGGCCACGACATCCCCAATTTCAAGGCCAAGACCAAAGCCAATACTACAATCGGGAAGACACCTTTAATCAAAGCAGCGTCGCACAGTTCCAAACCAATACGGCTGCCATGACTGCCCGTAGTTCATGAGGCTGTCACGCGCGGATGCGCCTGCACGACAATAATCACAAGAGGAAGGAGATAAACGAAGGAGTTGGAGGAGGACAGATCAGCCACATAACTGTACTCCGTGTCCTGGCCCTCCCGGGAAGTCCGTCGGATTCGACTCACGCCCCTGCCGACAGATGGACGATACGATGCTGCGATGGGATCCTCCCAAAGGGTCCACAGCTTCCCCAAGTGTGGCCGGTGGGGAAGAGGGGGACGGAGGAGGAAGAAGGGTGGAGGAGGGGCCCCCTCCCCCTCCCCCCAAAAAGGTTCCTGGCGGCTAGAGTTAAAGTCGAGCATCTCCCTCTACATGAGGAAAATTCAAGCATAGTCGAAAAATAGTCTGGGGGCGATTTTGTGAAGATGTTACTTTTGAGAACGTTTGAGTCGTTTTTGACAACGTGTCGGTTCCTCCCACATCCGCCTGTGGGAGGGCATGCCCGACCTAAGGCTGGAGTTCGCCTCGAGGCGGACCCGGCCCTGGCTTCGAGAGGCGTCCCTGGGCCAAAGAGGGGGGGAGAACAAAGAAATTCCGATGCTGGATCCTCTTCGTCGTCCTCCTCCTCCCGTGGTCCCCCCGAGCCCCATCGGGCAAGCAGCCCCAGGGACCACCACCCACTCAGGCGGCGTTCCAGCCGCGGCAGCGGAGGCGAGCCCTTCCCGAGGCCGTGCGGCGGTCCTCGTCGCCTCCCCCCCCACCCCAGGCGCACAGTTTTTGTGTTTTTCCCGGAAAGGGCGTGGGCCCAGGGTCCTTTTTTATAGTGGGTTACCCCCCCCCCCGGTTTTGTGTTTTCTGGCGTGAAAGCATGCGTTTCGCCTGTGCCCAACCCAGGCGCACTTCTTTTGTGTTTTGTTGGCGTCGGCGGCTCAGCAGGGGGCGCCTGCGCTGGCGATGGGTTGGCTGCAAGCGGGGATGCCGTCTTAGAGCGAGCTGTGCCACCGTGCAAGAGGAGGAGGAGCGGGAGGAGGACGCGGCCGAAAGAGGGCGCGGACGGAGCGAGCTGCTCAGGGGTGGTGGTGGTGCTGCTGCTGATGCTGATGCTGATGCTGCTGGTGATGACGATGATGACGATGATGATGCTGATGATGAGGATGAGGATGATGCTGATGATGAGGATGATGATGATGATGATTATGATTATGATGATGATGATGATGATGATGATGATGATGATGATGATGATGATGATGATGATGATGATACTGATAATAATGATGGTGATGGTGGTGATGATGCCGATGATGATGGTGATGATGCTGATTATGATGATTATGATGATTATGATGATTATGATGATTTGGACGCTACTGCTGCTGCTGCTGCTGCTGATGATGCTGATGATGAGGATGATGAGGATGATGCTGATGCTGATGCTGATGCTGATGCTGATGCTGATGATGATGATGCTGATGATGATGATGCTGATGATGATGATGATGATGATGATGATGATGATGATGGCGCTGATGATGAACAAACCATCCTCCTCCCAAGGTGGGGTGAGGAACGAACCATCCTCCTTCTCCTCCTCCTCCTCCTCCTCCTCCTTCTCTTGTCCTCCTCCTCCTCCTTCTCCTCCTTTTGTCCTCCTTCACTTTTTTTCTCCTCCTCCTCCTCCTCCTCCCCCTCCTCCTCCCCCTCCTCCTCCTCCTCCTCCTCCTCGTCCTCCCTCCTCTCCTCCTCCCTCCTCCCCCTCCTCCTCCTCCTCCTCCCCTCCTCCCCCTCCTCCTCCTCCTCCTCCTCTCCTCCTCCTCCTCCTCCTCCTCCCTCCTCCTCCTCCTCCTCCTCCTCCCCCTCCTCCCCCTCCTCCCTCCTCTCCCTCCTCCCCCTCCCCTCCTCCTCCTCCTCCTCCTCCTCCTCCTCCTCCTCCTCCTCCTTCTCCCCTCCAGGCGCACCGGCTCTTCCTCCAGGCCAGCAGCGGCCGCGCCGCGCCCTGGGCCACTGCTGCCGAGCCGGCCGTCGGAGCTGCTCCAGCGGCCCGTGGCGGCGGCTCCGACTGCGAAGGCCGCGCGCCGAGGTCGTCGCCGTCGCTGGCGAGGTTCACAGGAGGAGGAGCAGGAGGAGGAGGAGCAGGAGGGGGGGGAGGGGGGGGAGGAAGAGAGGAAGAGGAGGAGGAGGAGGAGCAGGAGGAGGAGGAGGAGGAGGAGGAGGAGGAGGAGGAGGGAGGAAGGAGGAGGGAGGAGGGGATCAGGAGAGGGAAAACGCTCAGAGCCCCCAAATCATCAGGGGTGACTCAGGTCAGGGCTAACTCGGGTTCGTTTTTCTGGAATCCGAGCCCGAGTTGCCCCAGGCCCGAGTTGCCCTGGACAACTCGGGCGTCCAGAGCCCCGAATCATCAGGGGTAAGTAACTTGGGTCAGGGCTAACTCGGGTTCGTCTTTCTGGAATCCGAGCCCGAGTTACCCCGGGCCCGAGTTACCCCGGATAGTTCGGGCGTCCCGAGCCACGAATCATAAGGGCTAATTCGGGTCCCGAGCTACCCCGGATAATTCGGGCGTCCAGAGCCCCGAATCGTCAGGGGTAACGATCAGGAATACCTCGGGTTCGTTTTTATCGGGAATCCGAGCCCGAGTTGCCCTGGGCCCGAGTTACCCTGGATAAGTCGGTTCGTTCAGAGCCCCGAATCACCTGGGGTAATTCGGGTCAGGGCTAAGTCGGGTTCGAATCCGAACCCGAGTTCCCCCGGATAATTCAGGCGTCCACAGCCCCGAATCATCAGGGGTAACTCGGGTCAGGGCTAATTCGGGTTGTTTTTTTCGGGATTCCGAGCCCGAGTTACCTCGGATAACTCGGGCGCCCAAAACGCATCCACACTGCTATCCTTCCCTCGTTTTTAGCTTGGGGGGCCTCCTGGGAGGCCCTCGTCGCCACCGCTGGATTCGTCACGAAGTGCTGTTCAGGAAGCTTGGCGAGGTCGCCGCCGCCGCCGTCGTCCTTTCCTGCGTTCCTTCCAACGACCGGCCGGCCGTCGCCGCCGTCCTCGCCCCCGTTGCGGTCGTCGTCGCCGTCGTCGAGCGACCGGGGGGCGCGGTCGTCGTCGCCGTCGTCGGTTTGGTCGCCGCTGCCCCCGTCGTCCGCTCCTGCGCTCCTTCGATCGGATGGGGGCCGTGGTGGTGCGCATGTTTGCTGACACTTGCAGCGCCGCGTGTGGTGCTCGTGACGCGAGGGCACCAGAGTTTCGATCATCCACGTCAGCATTGCCACTGCCGCCAGGCAGGTCATGACAGGGCGCTGGGCAGCCGATCGAGTCAGCATTTTTTTACGTGATTTCTATGATGTGTTTTTGGTGTCAGAACTTGGTGTCATAATCTGGACGGAGCATCAGTGGGAAGTTGGGGGGTCGAATGCACACGGGGTGAGACCTCTGCCGCCCTCGGAGATTATCTGGCGTAAATTTGTGCACATGTTTGATGTTTGGTTTCGCTCGGCGATTCATTGTGAACGATGTCTGGCTTGAAGATTGTTCGCTACTTTGTCTGATTCTGACTGCGAGCTGTCTTTCTGCACGCTCTCTGCCTGTCGAGGCCCGCGCGATCATAGGAACAATCACTTGGCCTGATCATATGTTTGTCGTCGTCCGCGCGGGAGTTACCGACTGCAATCGATTAAGCACCCATCCAGCGGTAGTCTACATTGCGGTGGTCACGGCGGGGGCCGCGGAGTGATGCCGCGGCCATCATGAGCATTCTCCCAGTTCAGCAGATTTGGCACAAGCATCCTGTCGAGCTTGTTTGTTCAGCGGTTGCATCCTGGTGCGCGCAATGCGAGGTGATGCGTCTCAGCCTCTAGCGCGTGGCCAGGCAGTCCAGCTAGCCCAAGGGCAGCCCACGTGGATCGACAAGATTCTGTTGAGGGAGTTCGGCCCCGACCAACGGTGCGCATACTTCCTCTTCGCGGGTGCATTGTGCTTGCTCTTGGGATCACAAAACTTGATCGGGCCAGCAACGACGTCAACGTTCATCAATTCCGTTGCGTACGAGAAGATCCCGGTTGCTCAAACATGGCTGCCGTTTATATATCCGCAAGAGCTTCGCCCCCCTGCCGCCGGCCCCCTCTCATTCAGAACGGGATCTAACAGAGTCGCGCTGGTCCGCCTCGGCGCTGCCTCGGCGCATCTGGGAACAGCATGCGGGGGCGGATTGGAGTCATCAGCGCATATTGAAACTCTGGCGTTATCGAAGGCGCCTGCGGCGAATCACCGCCGCCCCCTGCCCCTTTTGGAAGCGCCTGTGTGGCCGATAGCTGGGCCAGAGCTTGGCCAAACTATCGGGCCAGTTGCTCCCCGAGTCGGTTTGGAAAGCCTTCGGGGAACGCGTGGGGGAGCAATAGTAGGAGTATCAGGAGAGGGAGGAGGATGATGATTAGGAGGAGGATGAGGATGAGGATGATGGGGAAGGAGGAGGAGTAGGAGGAGGACACTTCTTGGTTGGGGGCCTCTTGGGCCATCATGGGGCCATCTTGGAGGCCTCGTGGGCGATCTTGGGGGCCTCTTGGGCCGCGTTGAGCCGTCGGAATGTCGAAATGAAGCAAATGCCAAAATCCTTCAAAACCTATGGAAAATACATGATTTGGGTCTCTTCGGGCCCTCCTGGAGCACCTCTTGGAGGCCTCTTGGGCCGTCTTGGAGGCCTTTTTGGGGCCTATTGGGCCGTCTTGGGCAATATTGAGGCTATCGTAGGCCGTCTTGGATGCTCTTGGGCCGTCTTGAAGGCGTCTTGGGGCCATCTTAGCCGTCTTGGTGGCTATCTTGGCCGTCTTGGAGCCCTCTTGGGGCCGTCCTGAGGGCCTCTTGAGCCATCTTGGAGGCCTCGTGGGCGATCTTGGGGCGATCTTGGGGGCCTATTGGGCCGTCTTGAGCCGTTGGAATGCCGAGAAGAAGCAAATGACCACATCCTTCAAACATCTACGGAAAATCAAGGATTTGGGCCACTTCGGGCCCTCCTGGAGGACCTCTTGGAAGCCTCTTGGGCCGTCTTGGAGGCTTCCTGAGCGAACTTGGAGGTATCTTGGACTCTCTCAGGCCGTCTTGGAGGTCGTCTTGGACCATCTTGGACGGACTTGGAGGCCATCTTGGACCATCTTGGAGGCCATCTTGGGCCAACGTGGCCATCTTGGAGGCCATCTTGAGCCGTCTTGGAGGATGTTTTGCGGGATTGAGGTCCTGGAGGTCCTCCCCGACACCCAGGCGGGACGGGCCGAAGCCCCAGGCGGAGTATCGTCTAGCACGCCAGGCACCCCTGTGATGAATCAACAGGGGGCGGCGGCTCCTAGTGGCCTTCGGTCCATCCCGCCACCGTGCCTGTGTTGTGGGTCTTGTATATGTGTTGGGATGTCGTGGGGAGCCTCTCGGGGGCCTCTTGGAGGCGGTTTGGGCGCCTCATTGGGGCGTCGTGGGGTATCTTTTAGGCTTCTTGGATGCCTTTTGGGCGCGTCTTGAGCGCCTGGGGCCTCTTGTAGGAAGATCGTGGCATCGGGGGCGCGAATCCGGCGCGATTTAGGAAGGATCGTGGCTTCGGGGGCGCGAATAGTGCATAACTTACAAAGGATCGTGGCCTCCGGGGGGCGAACGTGGTATAATTTACAAGAGATCGTGGCCTCGGGGGCGCGAATGTATCGTCATTTACAAGGGATCGTAGCCTCGGGGGCGCGACTGTGGTGCAATTTGCGGGGGATCGTGGCCCCAGAGGCAGGCATGTTATGTAATTTGCGGGGGGTCGTGTTCAGGAGCTTGACTATTGATATTTTACGAGGGATCATGGTGTCGGGGACGCGAATACAATATAATTTGCTATGGATCTTGACCTCGGGGGCGTGAATACAGCGTAATTTGCGATGGGTTATGGCCTCGAGGGCGCGCACGTGGCGTAATTTACACAAGGAGTCGTGGCCTCGGGGGCGCGAGTATAATATAATTTTGCAAGGGATCATGGCTTCGGGGGCGCAGATGTGGCGTCATTTTCGAAGGATCGTGGCCTCGGTGGCGCGATTGTGGCGTAATGTATGGAGGATCGTGGCTTCGGGGGTGCGAATATGATTATTTTACGCGGGATCGTGGATTTGGAGACGCGAACGTTGCGTATTTTACGGGGGATCGTGGCCTCGGGGTCGCGACCACAGCCTAATTCACAGGGGATCATTGCTCCGGGAGCGCGAATCTCGAGTATTTTTAGGTGTGTCACGCCCCCCCAGAAATTCAGAGCACACGACTCGGGCGTAATCAGGGTTCTTTTCGGCCCCCCCCCCTCGCGCGGACACTACCAATGTACACTAGGAAGCAGAGAGCAGTACTGTAACACTGGAAACTGGAAACTGGAACTGGTGCAGGGAACAGCGAGCCTAATCCTCGCAGCTGAATGGCCCCACAAAGGGGGCCGGCGGATTTGCCGGTGTTGTTCTTTTATAATTTCTTGATCAACACTTTCCGAAGCAGGCCAGTCATCGTGATGTCAGTCATGTGTCTGATATATGCAGCGATATATGTTGTTGTCGCTGTGAACACGTTGCTGGTGTACGACTGGAAAGGTCACAAAGAGGGCGTGCTGGCGCCATCGTTAGCCTGGGTGTTCTACTTCGCCACGAACACGAAGAACGTGCTCTTCCCTGTGATGTTTTGGAGCATCATGAACGATATCTCCGCCCAGACGACTTCGACGGGAGTTCAGTACTCCAGGATCGCATACGGAGCTCTGGTCTTCGGGGGGCAGGCGGGCGGCATCGTCGGGTCCACCGTCGCGGGCAACAACGCTCACCTTGGCGGCACGCCGATGCTAGTTATCGAAAGCGCTCGCAGCGACATCACCGCTCCCCCTTCGTTCTCGAGTGCTGGCTGCGACTTTGAATCCAGTCGCAGAGCCAGCGCACGACTCCGGACGTTCACAGCACCCAGAGGGCACCTTGGTGTCGGTTTGGGGCCCATGGGGTATGTCTTTCTTCTCGGGTGCCATAGTGGGGGCTTCATGGGGCCATTTCGAAAGTCTGGTGGGCCAGCTTCCCTATTGGGGCCCT